ATCATTTATATGACAAAGTTTTTTTTATATGTTTTGTTGAAGACCATGTGAGATACCTTTAATGCATTTGAATTTTTAAAAAAAAATTATTTTATGACTTTCATTTTCTGAGGCTTTATGCAAATGTGCAGTGGAAGTGTTATATCCAAGAAAGAGTTTATCAGAATTTAATGTTAAGCAAGTTACTGACAATTTTTAGTTTACTTGGGAATAGTGTCTAAGCACAGTCCTATTTTACCAAGCGGTTTACGAGATCAGGTTTTGGCTGAATCAGTCTGTGTGGTGTTCTATAGAATCCTACTCTAACAGCCAGCTGATCATGGGTCACAAGAATCCATGTACAGGACATTGGGTTTAGTAGAGTGCTGTACTGGGAGTTGTCAAACAAAAAGCTTAATGTAAATGAGCAGATGAGAGATTGTAGTGCAGCTTTCACTTAGTTAAGGTTTTAACTTTGGCTTCTCTCACAGGTTCTCCCTTTTAGTGTCCAAGAAATTGGCATGGTACACTGGAAAACTACGAGGAGATTTAATTAGTGGATGCATTGGGATTACCCTGGGCTGCTATTGCATTGTGCTTTTTAGGTTTTCAAATTCTCTTTAAGATTGACAAAAAAGCCCAGTGTAAAGTTTATAGAGTCATATAAATGCCAGAGATTTCGGAAAGGTGCCATGCATTCCTCAAAACATTTCAGCTGAGAAATGCTTCTTATTTTCCAAAGACACAGCAGCACATTTACCATTTAGTGAGCATTTCTGTGAGTATATTTCTGAGGAGAAAAACTCCTACACATTGAATCAGAGTCTTTAAGTAAGCATTTTAAATTTTAGTGGCAACCATGTATAGATGTGTGCCACTTAAGTACAGAAATGCAAACATCAAGAGCATCAGGATCATTTATCCTGTTGCATCTCCTGCCATTTATTCTAATGGTTGCTATAAAAGCTGTATCAGCTGTCCAATAAGTAAATAACATTCTCAGAGAAAAATCATGGTCCGTTGTTTGGAAGTTGTTGAAGAAATTAGTGTGGTGTCCCAAGAATATTTGCCAGAAGTAAAATTATAGATAGTTACTAGAGGTAGGAGGAAAAATGAGTTCTTAAAATAAAGTTATTGCAAGCCTGTTTATGTTTTAGTCCTAATTTATTAGATATCAAAAGAGTCTTTTGTCTAGTTTCCTGTAAATTGTGTGATGCCTGGTGATGATTTCACTTTTCCCTTTCCTATGGAACTGTAGAGAAAAAAGAAATATTCTAAATAATGCCATGTGAAAAAAAAAGGGCCCAAAAATGCCCTCCTCTAAACTAAACAAAATAAACTAAAAAAAAAACAAACAAAAAACCCAAACAAACAAAAAAAACCAAACAACAAACAGATAAACGTTTCCTTTTATCTCTGATGGTTTTACTAATATTTTTTTTTAGTGAGTGTACAGGCAGGGTATTTTTGTGCAGTTAGATTCTGCCTCTTATTTGATAAGAAAAAGTTAAACCCCACACATGCAACTTGAATTTGCATTCTAATATAAGGGGAAAGAAATGACACTGCACTTGCTGAAAAGTAATTTGAGACCCTTAGGGAAAAAAAACAAAACAAAACAAAAGATTGTACAAACATCAGCAGCATGTCTTCAGATAGTTTTTTTCCAATACATTCAAATTTCTACTACGGACTTTGTTATTATTGAACCTAAATAAAAGCATTTTTCTGGGTTTATTTAATGTACAGGGATGATGATCACCTATTCTACATTTAGCCATTATCTGTGTCAAAATTATTCTTCTCTTGTATATGTTTTGTATCTTCATGTATTAAAGGCGGTGTACAATACATAAACTTAGCACCTAATTGAATTGTAAATAATTTTTAAAAAGAAAATAATTTTATCTTATTTATGCTTACACAACATAAATAAGGGCAGTGAGCTTTGGTAGTTTGATTTTCTTTGTCAGCTATTTCAAAAATTATGTCTGTATTTTAAATACATATTTTGAAAATCATATGACAAAAGTATATATATATAGATGGCTGAGCTTTTGTTCACAGAAATGTGAAAAAAGGATTGAATAAAATTGTTAACTGAAAATTATGAGCAATTTGGCACTTTAATACATACACTAGAAGTTTCACCAGTGTTAGTGATTCCTAGGATTATTTTTGCTATACAGGTTGGTCATGTAGCTGGCAGTTTTTCTTATGCGTAATTCTTGTAAATTATTGTACTCAAGTATCGGAGTGAGAAGCTGTTACAGTTGTGAAGGAATATGACAGCATTGCTTCAAAAAGATTAAGACAATTCAAAACTGAATGAGTTTACAATTTCTCCGCATTTTTAACTTTTAATTATTTTTGCGCACGTGACTATCAAAGTAAATGTGCAGTTTCAGACTTTAACTGTGTGAGATGTGTTGCACAATTTTATTTTTTCATGGGACAGTGATTTCTGCTACTACATCCCAGTTTATGCATACTGAAATGTAACATGTTCGGTCTGTGGTATTACATACCGCATATTTTTATTATGCAGCACCTTCCAAAATAACACGGATTGCAAAACACCCTTCAGTCACTTAGGGTCAAGTCTCCCGACATTGCTGTTTAGCACGGAGTGTTTTCCATTGAGGGTTTTGACAGGAGCCCTCCCTGCTGAGCGCTCTCAGGATGCGCTGGGGCGGCTGGCCCGTAACCCGAGCTGTGTCTTGTTTCCGTGTGTTGTCTGCAGAGCCGGAGAACACTTGCATTAGCTGCATTGATCAGCCCACCTCGCGGCTCATCGTTTAGGAGACAATTAATACTACCTTGTAAGGACTCCCCGGAGCATTTCCTTGGAGCTGGATTGCTTTACACAGAAACCACAGGCGATGTTGGCAAAAGGGGAGGGAGCCAAGTAGGGAAAAGAAAAAAAAGCATTAGGAAAGCTTTGTCTAGGTACCAAGTTTCACTTGCTGTGGTGACTTTCTCTCATGGCAGTCAAACTCCCTGTTCTGAGAAAGCATTTGCAAAACAAAAATTAGTTGTATTTTGAGGATGATTTGTTGAAAAGATGCTGTAAGAGGTCATAGAAATATTTTTTAAGTCTTCCTCTTGAGAACTATGCGTTTGATTGGGAGACTTTTATAACTTGCAGTTAAGAGTGTAAACATTCTAATTTTATAGTAAGGATTAATAATCTGACATATTTTGAAGTATTGGTTGACATGTTTTAATTCTAATATTAATTATTTTTAAATAACATTTTGATAGACAAAAAAATAAAAAGTATGTTTCTTATTCTGTCTTTTTTGCTGTGGTGCTTCTACTAGTGTTGAATTTCAGTATTGCCTGATACTTAAGACAAAAATCAGATTTTAAGTGATTTTATGTGAATACATTATCTTAAGAGCAGGTAAGGCTCTTGGTGTGCTTCTTCATCTTTAGGTTATAAAATATTTAAGCTTAGAAATCATTCACAGAAGCAGGTGAAGAGCATGAACTAATAAAACCCAGCTGTTTTTTTGGAAATTCCTAAGGTTACCGTACTGTTCTCTGTTAAAGTCTATGTTGCACTCTTATAAGGAGCGTATCTTAAGATGATAAAAGCTGATTATATAAACATAAAATTGATAGGGAATTTTATGGAGAAGGTTGCTTCCCACTCTTGTGCATTAATCTGTGTGATTCCATATAGGTTCTACAGTGGAAATGAGGCCAACCATCATGTGGTGAATTTCAGAAATTTTTGCAAACTTGTATTTGCCACATCATTATATTGTCATTTTCATTTTCTTAGGTAGAGTGAATTAATTTTATGTGAGAAAAGATTAATTTGTGTCCTTATATCAATAGTATTTACTAGGCGTATATCAATGAAAAATATTACTTTATTTATTTTTGTGCTAATTCCATGGCTTAGATTTGTTATTTTGCTCTCCTTCTACATAGTCTTGAAGTAAAATATGGACTGACATTGAATAGAGATATGTATCTGGCTTATCTTTGCGACACAATCAGTATTATGGTACTACTATATTTTTAGTAATACACCAATATCTTGATAGTTCATTTTATAATTGTCTTTTGTTAATAGAACTATTCTACTGATATTTGAAGACAACAGTGAGGTGATGAATACAAAAAAAATAGTGTATGATGGAAGTGTAAAGAATATATTTTTGAAAGTACGGATTATGTGAAATTTTAAGGCAGTTTTACTTGAGCATGTAGGTTGTCTTATATTGGTATTCCTGCAGAATGAAATTGGAAACTACAATATTCCTTTTTAAGTTGGTTTTGAGGGGTTTAGGGAGTTTTATTCCAGCTCCTGTCAGATCCTGTTTTTCAAATCAAAACTGATTTTCTGGAACCTATTTAAGTCGTTTGATATGTGGAATACAGAACATGGATTGTTTCAGTGAAATGTCATACTCTTACCCTTAGGATTGGTACTGGGAGGTTTTATATTTGTTTAGTGAAGATGTATCAAACTGTAACCCAATATGTAAAATAGCCCTTTTTTGCTATAAAGTCATATAAAATCATCTAAAACCAGTCTTATCATTAAAAAAAAACCAAACCAAAACAAAACAAAAAAAAAAAAAAAAAACCCAAAAAAAAAAAAAAAAAACCAACAAAAAAAAAAAAACAAGGAAGAATTTTCCCACAGTTCTGCATCCATCTTCAGTCATCCTGTAGATGTTTTTAAATAAGAAATCAATAGATAAGAACTGGTGTTGATTTTTTGTACCAGAAACAGAACAATTTCATTTTGGAAGAAGGTTATGAGTATTCTGACCGATGTTATCCAGGGTGATTTGGAAAGTTAGTGATTGTGGGATCTACACCAATAGTTGTTTAAAATACCTTTACATCATCAGCATGTTATTTTTCATTTGTACTTTCAGGGAGGTATTGCTGATTGGCGTTGCAGCATTGCCTTTGGGTGCCACCTTTGTGCCATAACTGAAGCAGTTTGTGGGACCTTGAAGAGTCCACGCCATTCAGATGACTTTTGGTATTTGCAGGTACTACGGAGCGGGTGTGTCTGATCCAGGGAACAGTCGAAGCACTAAACGCAGTTCATGGCTTCATTGCAGAGAAGATTCGAGAAATGCCTCAGAATGTGGCCAAGACAGAGCCTGTCAGCATCCTACAGCCTCAGACCACTGTTAATCCAGACCGCATCAAACAAGTGAGTTTTTGCTTGGGAATAGAGTCACAGCAGCTCCTTAGAAGCGTTAAAGCTTTAGTGCTGGAAGGGGTAAACATAACATGTTCTTTAACAAAATGTTACCTTAGACTTTATTAACTTGCTGATACTCTTTTTCCCTTGTACTTACATGTTCTATGTTTCTCAGCAGTTCTTTTAGACAGTGTTTTATAAATTCCAATGCCATGCTCTGATGTGTTTTTTTCGTAAACTTTTCTTTACTGTATAAGGTGATAATAGACCTCTAGGTGTTAGTTAAAGGTTGCTGAATTTTAATATTAAATTGTGAACCCTATGTAAATCTTAAGTGTTACTAAAAATCACAGATTACCTGAATGTTCTCTACGTTTATGTATATAAATAAAAGAGAAAAGGTAACTTCTTTTTTAGACCCTAAATTAGATAATTTAAATCTTGCCTGTAAGAACTTTAAAGCATAAGGATAATTCACTTGGGAAGTTTTTTACAAATTCATTTTATGTTATTTTTGAGCATTTTTTGCCTGTTTTTTACTGGCTTCATTCAAATGATATTGCAAAAACTGTTTGCAAGCTATTATTGCCCTTGTTCTTTATTCTTTGATTTTCCATACAAATTTTAATTTTAAAATTTTACTCTGTAAGGAGAATGAGAAATATGCATCATACAGGATTGAAAGTTATTAGTAAAATTTTGTCTTGCCTCTCTATCCTGTAGAGGAAAGATTTTAGTTTCTCATCTGTCCTATAGGGGAAAAGATTGTTTTGTTCTTCTATGCTAGTAAGGTTCAATTTCCTATAATTTGGTAACTGTGTGCAATTATTTTACTTTGTATACAGTGACATACACAGAATGCTTATATAAAGATGTTTTTTCAGCAGGATGAGTTTGCAACAGACTGCTTTAGATGGATGAAACTGTGCACAAACCATTTATATGCTTTCTAATATTTGCTATTTTTTTTTCTGTATGCGATAATTTTGCATACAAATTACTCTAGATAGTTTATAAGAAAATACTAAAAAGAAAGCCCCCAATTTTATAAGATTAGTTTCTCAATTATTAGACATTAAAATGATTATGCCTGAAAGATAAAGATCTGAAATTGATCTATATTTTGAATGGATTTTCTGCTGATAAAATATTGGATTTCATGCCAATATTTCTTAATCCAGTGGGAAATGAGTCTTCTCTATTAGAATAAAAAGTGGTTTTCCCCTTTTGAAATGAAATTCAGCTAGTTTTTTTAGGTAAGTCAGTAGGATCCTGAGAAACTAGATTAAAGAACTCTTTAGTGAAATGTCTGAATAATTACTCTGCTGTGTCTGAAGATGATATATCTTGTTGTCCACACTGTTTCTTCAGAAAATGTATTTGCAAAGTTGTTGAGGTTGTTTTTCTTTTATTTTGGGGGCATGTTTTTTGACTGGTTGGTTGGTTTGGTTTGGTTGTTTGTTTAGTTGTTGCTGGTTTGGTTTTTTGTGTTTTTTTTTTTTCTTTTTAATTTTTTTTCCTCTTCTTTGAAGTTTGTTTAGTTTGGGGTCTGTTGGTTTGAAATGTTAAGTTCACTTAAATTCTGGAGGGGTGGATTAGTGAATGCAGTCACTGCTAATGAAGCTAAGACAGACTAAAGTACAATGTATACTAGCTTTGCATCTTAAAATATAAATATATTACTTGTATACATACAGGTGCATAAGGTAACATCAAATATTTTGGGACATGCATGTGGATATGTTAAACAATTTTAACCACAATGAATTGTTTAAATTCTCTTTTAATGATGCAATATCTGTTCATGATAAATTAATACACTCTAAATATTGACTCAATCTAAAATTGACTCAAACCTAAAATCCATTATTTTTACCAAGAGATGAAATTGTTAGCTTAGTTATTATGTAGTATTTTCAGTTAATTAATCTGTCCTTCAGTATCAGAGTATACTGTACCTTGATGAAAGATATAATACCTTGATTTAAAAATTTAGGAGAATAATATTTTATGAGAGGTTGCCGTGATTTAGAGCTCCAGTGTTCTTATTTTCTTGAGAGCACAAATATGACAATTTTATTTAAATTATTAGTAATAATTTAAACAAAAAACTTAATATCAGTAATTTTGGTTTGGTTTTTTTTTTTTAATAAGCCTTATTATTTGTAATTTCTTCTTTTATGCAAAATTTTACGTGGTTCTTCCTGTCTTAGAATCTTGCCCAAGAACACTGGCACACAAAGTAGTACATTGCAGATTGAAGAAAATCTAAAGTTATCTGAAAGAAAAAAAATTTACCTTCATTTAGGCACTCTAAAAATGTTTCAGTCCAAAAGAAGATGTAGTTTTCTCCCCATTAATAAAGATACCAGTGGTTGAAGTCTTGCAAAGCCACTCATGTCTGTATGAGCATGCAGCTCTCATTTCTCTGTAGGAATTTCTGTGTCTTTGGCTGCTTTTCCAACACTCAACCTAGGGAAGGGAGCTCAGAAAGAAAATGTCTGGTTAGAGATTCAATGAAGAAAGGCAGTATGTAAAGTCTTTGCTGACTACTTGAACTGCAGCACTTTCTGTTTTCACGAGAGGCTGACTCTGGCCTGGCATCTCTCCTTACTAATAGAAATCACTCTCTGAACGTTCTGTCCCTTTAACTTCATCTTTTTCAGCTGCTGAAGATTTGGAAGCAAATCTGTGTGCTTCCTTTTGAGCCTTCTCCAGTTTGTTTTTTTCTCTCTTCTAATCCTTTGGACTTATCAGTAGATAGCAGGGAGTTCTCTCTTCCAAGCAGGTCTGATAGATGTTTAATTGACCAATGTTTGTATCTTTTATATCTACACAACATAGACCATCTCTGTGGATGTCAGCCATCTGCTATTTCTATAAGTATAATTAAACAATAACCAACTGGTTCCTATGCCCTTTTTCTTTCCAGAAACTGCTATGAGCATTTAGCCTCCTTTTCCTCTCTATTAATTAGTGTCATACAAACTCTTTCAAACCATATCATAACTCACAGGAACAAAAACATGTTTTAATAAAGATCATGAGCCTTTGTCTTTGTAATCAACATCCAGAGCTTTAAATTTCACCTCTAAATTAATAGCAACTCTTATGAACAATGGAAAAGGCTGCTTAAATCTGTTTTATCACCTACTTCAGAAATTATTACAACTTTTTTGTAGGCTAGTTACATTTTCCTTCCCGCTTTCAGTTGTAGCAGGTAGCAGATGCTGTAGCAGCCTGTCCAGGAAACACATGGAAACAGAGATGGCCATTGCTGAACTGTGCATTTTATGGAAGGAAAGAGGACCTATCTTAAAGATGAGAGTGCTTCAGGCAGGAGTTCGCACTGTTTGGCCTTCTGAGATCCCTTCCTACCTGAATGATTCTTTGATTCTATGAAATGTTTAGGTCTTTTAAAATGTAGAAAAGGATTTAGAATTTCCTCCTCATAAATCAAGGAAGAAAACTTTAATGTATGAATAAAACTTTCATGTATAGAACTTCCAATTAAAGTTTTCACTGGACCTAGTTTCACTTCAGCTTTTTCAGTAGATAATTAATGTCTCATGAGTTAAATCTCTGTTTATTAATCATGGCCCCAGTTACTTTATTCAAAATCTACAAAAGTTATTGTTTGAACTAAGATTTGTAATTTCATATTCCTCTATTGAAAGCAAATTCTTTTACTCCAGAAATATTGATCAACAACAAAAGAGAAAGCTTAATAATTTTTAAATAAAAGCTTTTTCTTCTAATGCCTATATAGAACCTGAGTATAAGAATACACAGCTGAAAACATTGGCTTAAATGGAGGAGAGGGTTGTTGGTTTGGATTATGAGTTCTTCAGATTATAAAGGCTGAGTAGACTTCATAGAATCATGGAATGGTTTTAGTTGGAAGGCAAATTAAAGATTATCTAGATCCAACCCCTGTACCAGGAACACTAGACCAGGTTGCTTTGTCCAGCCTGGCTTTGAACAGTTCCAAGTATGGATCATCCACAGTTTCTCTGGTCAACCTCTTCTAGTGCCTCACCACCATCACAGTAAGGTCTCCCTCTAATATCTAATCTAGATCTACCTGTTCCAGTTTCAAAACCTCATCCCTTGTCCAGTCCCTACTCTGCCCACTAAAACGTCTGTCCCAGTCTTTCCTTTGGCCCCCTTTAAGTGATGAAAGTCTGCTCTAAGGTCTTCAAGAAGCTTTCCTGTCTCTAGAATAAACAATGCCAATTCTCTCAGCCTGTCTTCAGAGAAGATGTGCTCCAGTCACTGATCATCTTTGTGGACCTGTTCTGGATCTTCTCCAGCAGTTCCATGTCTCTCCTATCATGAGAGCCCCAGAGGTGCATGCAGCACTGAAGGTGGAGTCTCACTAGAGCAGAGGGACAGAATCACTTCTCATCCTCCTAGTTACTTCTGGTGCAGCCTAGGGTGCAATTTGCTTTTTGGCCTGCATGTGTACATTGCTGGATTGTATTCAGTTCTTAATCCACCAGTATGCTCAGAGTCTTCCTTCCTTAAGAAACTGTCATTGGTTTCTTAAAAAGCCCATCCCTTATGAGAAGCCTTTCTTTTCTTTATCATCCATTGAAGAAAAAAGTCTGTCACCTAGATGAATCTTACTAAACTGTAGAATATGAGAAAATTAAAGTTTTCATTTAAATAAAAAACAAGTAACTTCATAAATCACAGTGTCATCTTTTCATCTACTTAAAAACTTATCATAAACTTTTTTCTTTTGTGAACAGAGGTGAAAAAGCACACCAGTTAGCGTAGTTATAATAAGATATGCAGGGGTCTTCACAAGATGCAAGAACAAAAAAAAGCTATTTAGTTCTGTATATAGAATCCAGTGGCAAAAGTTTAGTCTTCCCTAAAAATATGTGTACTTTATCCTGTCCCTCATGTGCTTAATTCTGCTGGCAGATCACTACTTCTATTTTCTGTTTCGTTTCAGCAGTGTTGAATATAATCTCAATATTTATGCAAAATTTTGTCTATGA